CGCGTAGATTACGGGTTTGCATAAGAATCTATTGGCTCAGATCTCGTGTTTGCCGAGGCAGCGCGTAGATTATGGGTCTGCATCTCTACAATAAGAATCTATGGCTCAGATCACGCGCTTGCCGAGGCAGCGCTTAGATTATGGGTCTGCATATCTGCAATAATTAAGTGGCTTTATCTCACGTTTGCCGAGGCAACGTGTAGATAATGGTCCGCAATGTATAATATGCGCAGGGAACTGAGCAGAGGGTAATTTCCCTTTCTCTCATTCTCTTATTATTGTGGGCAAACTAATTTTGTATTCTTTATTGTTTGAGACTGTCTATATTAATACACTATATATATTCAGCCTTTTAACTAGACCGTTTCTACTTGTCTTGTTGATATTTGGCTGCATTTAATTTTTGAGAAAATTAAATATGTACTCATCTAATCTCTGAGGAGTTAAATGTCTGTATTAATATACTATTCAAATTTTCATCCAGATTGTTTATTTGTCTGGTTGATATTTGGCTGTATTTAATTGAGAAAATTAAATATGTACTCATCTATCTTTGAGGAGTCATTTAATTCTGAGGAAATAAATGGCTAGTTCCCAGGGGGAAGTGGATAACACCTCATTATACAGTGCCCATCTCCCTCCAGTGCCCTCCAGCGAGTTCTAGTCTCAGTGTCTGACTCGCAGAAGGGGGGATTAAAAGGGGTCAGTTCGGTTATATCCTGCCGGTCATCCGTTTCAGGACGCCGGATTGGCTTCTCAAGCTATACTAGAGACCAGTCACGAGAGGCTGGTTCCTTTAGTATTCTCAGCCGTAGTCGTCTTGGGATAAGACATATCTGAGGACAGTCGTTATCTCGAAGAAGGTTTCGACAAAGAAGAAGTCCTATCAGCCTTCTGAGGGTGGCCCCCTCCGGGGAGAGACGGGTTTGAGAATCCGTGTCTCCTCGGCGCCCTCTGGGGGGTGACTCTCTGAGGAGGGTCGCAGTGCTGCCAGTTCGGTTTTCCTTGCGGGTTCGCCGTTTCAGGGTACCGAGGTGTCAGCGCCCCCAAACAATCCTCCGAGAAGGGTCGTAAAGCAGTCAGTTCGGCTGTTCCCTGCCGGTTTGGGCACCGAAGTGGCTGTTCGACCAGTACCAGAGGCCAGTCTCAAGAGACTGGTCCCCTTAGTAGATTTTCTGGCAGCGTGGAAGCTACTGCCAAATATATCTCGTTGGGGCCTGCTCACTATAGAAAAGGGTTACATAATTCAGGGTGGACCCCGAGCAGGCTCTGGTTATGTTATCATTTGAGATTAACAAACTGCTTGTACAGGATAGAGTGTCGTTTCCTGTGCTCCCCCTCAGATAGATTGGGGACCGGGATGGGATTCTCAACAGAAGCCTTTGAAGCAGAAGATGGATCTGAGGACCGTTGTTTCTGCAAAAAAGTTTTCGGCGAAGGTCCTGATGCCACTGGTGTCAGACCTCTTGAGGGCAGCCCTGACCGGTGTGGAGCGGTGTACACCTCAGTATACGGTGCCCGCCTCACCTCGGTGACCTCAGGAGGCCGTTCTGCCAACACTGCCACCCTTGGTGCCTCGGGGCGCAGCGGTCTCCAGCGAGCACATGGCTCAGTGTCACCACGATGCTGTGTCAAACTCGCACCCTCTGAGGGGGGTTCAAAAACAGTCAGTTCGGTTGTTTCCTGCCAGTATGCTTCAGGTCACCGAAGTGACTGTTTCAATTACACCAGGGGCCAGTCTCGAGAGACTGGTACCCTTAGTAGATTATCTAACAGAATGGGCAGGCTCTGGTAATGGAGCAAGAAGTAAAGACTCTGTTAGCTGAGAAAGCAATAGAGGAGGTGTATTCACCCGACAGAGAATCGGGTTTTTACAGCCGTTACTTCATTGTTCATTGTTGACATTCAAACAGATTGTGACTCAAATCAGATCCGAGGACTGGTTTGTCACGATAGATCTAAAAGATGCATACATCCATGTCTCCATCCTCCCTCAGCACAGGAAGTTCATCAGGTTTTCTTTCGGGGGCAAAGAATACCAATATCGGGTACTTCCATTTGGTCTAGCTCTATCACCCCGCACGTTCACGAAGGCCGTAGTTGCAGCTCTGGCCCCGCCCAGGCTGCAGGGCATACGCATTCTGAACTACTTCGACGACTGGCTGATTCTGCGGAATCAGAGCAGTTAGCGGTTCGGCATCGAGATGTCGTCCTCACTCACATGAAGAATTGGGGTTGAGACTCAATGCCAAGAAGAGTGTGCTTTCTCCATTACAGAGAACCACTTTCCTTGGTGTGGTATGGGATTCAGTCACAATGCGAGCCGTCCTATCGCCCGCTTGTGTAGCTGCTATCCTCACAGCCCCGAAAGAGCTAAAACTAGGGCAGTCACGCACTGTGAAACAGTTTAAGAGACTGTTAGGCCTCATGGCAGCAGCGTCCAATTCTGATACCCTTTGGCCTGCTGTACGTGAGACCTTTGCAGTGGTGGCTCAGGACCAGAGGGTTCTCCCCGAGGGGAAACCCACTCCGTACGATCAAGATCACGCGGCGGTGTCTCCACGCCTTGGTGGATACATTGGTTCCTGTCCCAGGGTCCGGTGTTGGGAGCTCTTTCCCATCGAGTTGCGATCTCGACAGATGCTTCCCTCACCAGCTGGGGAGCAGTAATGGAAGGCCGCTCAGCTCAGGATCTGTGGAGGAGTCATCATCTCTCTTGGCACATAAATTGCCTGGAGATGATGGCCGTCTTCAATGCGTTGAGACATTTCCTCCCAGACCTGAGGGCATCAGAATGTAGGAGCAGACATCCTGTTGAGGCAGGGGCTGAGGCCCGGGGAATGGAGGCTCCACACCGAGGTGGTGGAGCACATTTGGGGGTTTTATGGCCAGGCACAAGTGGATCGGTTCGCGTCTCAGGATACGACGCAAGGTCCACTTTGGTTCTCCCTCACACACCCAGCTCCCTTGGGGCTGGACGTTGTGGTATAGACATGGCCGAGGCTACGTCTGTACGTCTTTCCCCGATTACTCTGCTCCCAGGAGTTCTGGAGGAGGCCGGGACGGAATAAGTCTACTACTAGTAGAACCGTACTGGCCAAGGTGACTGGTTATCGGACCTGGTGTCTCTCCTCGACGGCTCTCCCTCGGAGATTCCAGTCAGGAGGGACTATCGGTCTCAAGTGGAAGGGGTGACCCTTCACCCCAGCCCAGAGATATGGAACCTGTGGGTTTGGCCTCTGAGGGGGCCCAACTCAATGTCTTTGGTCTCTCAACTGAGGTTGTGGAGATCATACTTCGCTCCAGAGCTCCCTCCACGAGGAAACTGTATGTATTAAGTGATGGGTTTTCACTTCATATTGTGGATCTCGGAAAATGGGGCCCAGTTTACTGCCCGATTGGTACAGTGCTGGAGTTACTGCGGGTTCATTTTTCCGCAGGGTTATCCCCTTCCACACTGAAGGTGTACGTGGCGGCCTTAGTGCCTACCATGTCCCTTTTGGTGGTATTTCCCCGAGGGGGGGGGACCTTTGTTCGTTTCCTCCGTGGTGCTTTTAGACCAGGATAGGAGTATGGCGGCTTAGAAGCCTTATTATATAAGTAGTTATCCCTGTAGGATGTGGTATGTGGCGGGCTGGTCCTCTCCACTCACATTCGTAAGGTTTTACAACTTCGACCTGGGCGCTTCCCCAGGTTCACAGGTGCTCTTGTCTCAGTTGTGCTCTCAGTATTCACACAGACAGGCTCTTGTTCGTATGGCGTGTTGGGCATTCTCGTTCCCAAAGCGCCATCGACGCATCGCGAGTTCCCTCAAAAGAGAATATCTCAGGTTACGACTGTAACCCTAGTTCCCTGAGAAGGGAACGAGACGATGCGTCACTTTACCATACTTCCTACATCCTTGTGATCGACTTGCTTCGGCCTTTTTTTCGAAGCTAGCGCGGTTCTAAACCGGATGTGCTTTTATCCTTTCCTGGTCGTGACGTCACCCGCCCATGACGGTCACTCTCGCCGTTGGACTAGTTGATATAAGTGCTTCAGACGCAATCACGCAGGAGCGCTCCCAAAGCGTCATCGACGCATCGTCTAGTTCCCTTCTCAGGGAACTAGGGTTACAGTCGTAACCTGAGACGTTTTTTTCATCTCCCTTCTCAGGGAACTAGGGTTACAACCCTTCTCAGGGTTACTAGGGTTTTTTCATCTCCCTTCTCAGGGAACTAGGGTTACAGTCGTAACCTGAGACGTTTTTTTGGAAGGTGGAGGAAAAAATATTAATTTACAGATTAGATGAGATGCCAATGGCTCTGTTTGAACAGAAGTGCTGATTTGATTTTGAGGCTCTAAGATTTGGCTTTTTGTACATCTAGTTTTAAAATAGTCTTTATTATTATTTTATATTATTCAGGATGAAAAAAATTATGCATTTTAGAGACTTGAAACTTCTACCTGTAGCCTGTCTGAATGATGTAGTTAATGGTGATGATGACATTGTGATATGACACTCACTTTCAAAATACACAACATAATTGCACACAACAAATAAAAGGAGAATTTGACAGGAACATTGACACTCAAGTCACTTTCCAGGTTGCTCTGAAACCACTGAACAGAAGTCAAAACCATCTTGAAGTGAAAAAGACAGCTGAAACTAAAAGGGAAAAGTCAGATAATCTAGTGCAAAGTGAAATGACATTTTGTGTGTGTGTGTGTGTGTGTTCTAGAAGAGAATGAGAAGTCTCTGTGGGGGCATTTTCTGACCCTTCCTATTACACATCTTTTGTCTGCTACTATTCCTGTGTTCCATTCACTATTTTCCCCAAACCCCGGAAGGTGCTGATGACAAGTGTGGTTAAGTGTTCTCTGATTGAGACTGTTAGCCTCACTTAGACCTGGTACACTGAGCTTCTCTCTGAGTGAGGGGCTTCTTTACTGACAAGCCCGAAGTGAGATGTGTTGGAGCATGCGGATACACAAGAGTAGTCCAGCCCAGCCTTGTCCAATTACTCTTCTCTGGGGGCGTTGTCATCCAGTGGAAAGATGGCGGTCAGGCAGGTCGAGTTCTGATTAGCCGTCATGGTAGCCACAGTGTGGAGAAGAACTAGAACCAGCAAGCAAAGTTTCAGCCGGCCCTGCCCGAGCCGTGGAGTCCCCGAGGAGGTCACGGATGTGTGCTGGCAGGAAGGGTGAGTTCTTTTTAAAGTGCCGCGGGAACGGTTGTTGGACTTCTGGTCCCACCGCACATCACAGCACTCTGGCTCCTGGTTGATGTCTGGTTTCTCTGAAAGCCCTGGGGTGTTTGCAAAAACAGACATCCATGTTTTGATTTGGAAAACTCTCACATTGTATGCCTATCTGACTGTAAAAAGTTCCACTAAAATGATTACTTCAAACACTTTATTTTATGGTATGTGCACATTCAATGTACTTACAGTGTACTTACCCAGGAAAGTACTTAGTGATAACTACATGGGTTAAGATTAGGTTTAAGGTTAGGCTCGGGGCTAGTACCAGTTATTACTGAGTTATTGTAATTACTACAATAAGTACATAGTATGTACATGCGAAACAGGACTGTAAAATAAAGTGCTACCAATATTTTTTTAAAGAACTGAATATTCATCAAATTTTATAACTAACATCTCCAGCATTGGAAGTAAAGTGGTTAGTCAAATGGATGTAAGACATAAGGCATTGTTCCATCATGTTTTAAAAGGTTTGTGAAAAGTTTTTAAAGGAGCAAACACATCATACACACACACTAAATACATATAAAAATAAAGCAGGTTTTTAAAGCCGTTTAAAGACTTCATTTCATTAAATGATTTGAATAGCATTTGGCTGTTTCATCATAAATTAAAGAAATGTATACTAGGCTGCAGTGTTAAATAAAAATATGCTTCTATGTGCTCATTAATTGCTTCCCATGGTGCTGACATTCCTGCAACATCGCATGCAGATTAAATCTAAATAAAAGCAGAATTAAATGGTCAGCTCATAAGTAATTATGAAAAATGAAAGATGTTTCAAATAACTACTTTAAAGCCCAAGGTGCTCACAAAAAATAATAATAATTGAATGCTGGCAACAACTATTTGAAGGTTTTTTCTTTGGTTTGTCACTGCGTCACTGCTAACATTGTTGTAATGTACAAGATAAACAGCCTTTACTTATTTTAAAACCATCTGCTAAATGATTACATGTAAATTATGTTTAATAATATTATTATTATTATTAAATTGTATTTATTAGATTACAACAATTGATATTATTATTATTAGGGGTCATGGAACAAGGGGTGAAGACTCTCTTGAGCAAAGACGCCATAGAACGTGTTCCTCCACCCGAGAGAGAATCCAAGTTACAGCCGGTACTTCATCGTTCCAAATAAGGATGGGGTGTTGCGTCCAATTTTAGATATGCACCATCTAAATCAATCGCTCAAAAAGCTCAAGTTCAAAATGTTAAGTTTGAAGCAAATCGTGTCTCAAATCAGGTCTGAGGACTGGTTTGTCCTGATAGACCTCAAGGACGCATAATTCTATGTATCCATCCATCCACAACACAGGAAGTTCTTTAGGTTCGCCTTCGCGGGCGAAGCACTTGGCGGCTCGACATCAAGATGTCGTTCTCGTCCACATGAAAGAGCTGGGGTTGAGGCTGAACTTTCTCCAGCACAGAGAAAGAATAATTCCTGGGCGTATTAACTGAAGGTGGGCCAGTCATGCACTGTCAAGCAGTTTCAGAGTCTGTTGGGTTTGATGGCAGCAGCGTCAAATGTGATAGCTTTTGGCCTGCTGTACATGAGACCCTTGCAGTGGTGGCTCAAGACCAGTGGTTTCCTAGAGGGGAAACCCGTTTTGCATGATCAAGGTTACGATCAGATCCCTTGGTACCTTGGTTATGTGGAAGAAGCCCAGCTTCTTTTCCCAGGATCCTTTGTTGGGAGCTCTTTGTCATCACAAAGGGGGGTCTGCGGTCACTCTTACTTTGCAAACTGAATCTGCTTTACCCAGTCAGGGCACTAGATGCTTATATCCACAGAGCTGCCCTGTGGAGTAAAACTGATCAGCTGTTTGTGTGTTTTGGGTCACACAGAAAAGAGTACCCATCTTCTAAGCAGAGAATGAGCAAGTGGCTAGTCGAGGCTCTCTCTCTTGCATATGGGTTGGCTGGCCAGCCTTCACCTTTGACTGTCCGGGCCCACTCAACTAGGAGTGTGGCAGCTCCTAAAGTCTTACTATCAGGGGCTTTTTACTATTCAGGTCCTCTCCGCACACATTTGTCAGGTTCTATGACCTTGATCTGGGCTCCACCCTAGGGTGCTGTTGTCTTAGTTGTGCTCACTCGATTTCACACAAGACAGGCACTTGTCATTACGGCGGAGTGGGCATGAATGTTCCCATAGCATCATAAATTCCCGACACAGCGCTTGTTCCCTTGAAAGGGAACGTCTCGGTTACGACTGTAACCATGGTTCCCTGAAAAGGGAATTAGACGCTACGTCACCCTGCAATACTTTCGGTGTGCCTGTGGCCAACTTGCTTCAGCCTAACAAACATTGTTTGGTCTGGTTTGCTTTATAGCTTCCTGGTCATGACGACACCCACCATTGGACTAATTTTATACGAGCTTAAAGACGCAATCATGCAGAGACGTTCCCATAGTGCCATAAACTTCCTGATGCAGCATCTCATTCCCTTTTCAGGAACCATGGTTACAGTCGTAACCGAGACGTTGATGTTACATATGCCTTGTCAATGTAAAGATTATGTTAAATATGTTAATAAAAAGTACTACAGGCTTTCTTCATGTCTTTATAACTTACATAAACAAATGTTTACTCTCACGAGCCATCACAAATTTGCGAGCTTGCAGATGTAATCTCTTAAGTAAGAACAAATTAAAAACGTGCCGGCTTCCGTATGTTGTTCAACCTCAATGACTTCTAGAATTTTGAATGGTTTGATTCACTCAAGGGTGCTTCTCAGTACTCAAATGTATTGCTTCCTTGTTTCCTCACTCCTCTGTCCTCCAGTCTGTGACCAAGAAACCAATCTAATTCAGCCATCTTTAAGGACATCTTAATTCTGTAATTGTACCATGAGGAGTGCAACGAGTGAGGAAGGTTCCTGAGGAGTCATGAGCGAGGATTCACAGGTGTATCCTTCCCTCGCATGGGGGTGGAGCAAAGACATGAGAAAAGGAAGAGAGGAAAGGAAACGAGGATGCACAAATAAGAAATGAGAAGCACCCCACATCTGCATCCGATGCATCCATGATATCAAGAACACATCCAGGTTCTTTCATGCATCCTCTGTACTTGTGTTCTTGAGTATTAAGCTGCGTCCCAATTCGCCTACTTATACTATGCCGTAAAAGTGTGTACTTTTTGTGTGAAGAAAACATACTTTTGAATGTGTAGCAGAAGAGTAGGCGCGCTTTGGGACATACTATCACGTCATAAAATTGCATCTTTAACAGACGATCTGTTGCATTACATGCATCCTGTATTGGCCTCAACCTTGTTTATTTTTCCCTCAGAAATGATTACCTTTCTTATACATTTACATCGTAATATTAATCATATTCATATAATTTATTATAGGATGCATTTATGATTATCAAAATTTTGAATTATTATTATTATAATAACAATTATACGAGAAATGTTGAAGATAAATCATTTGAAGCTATAGTAATGTCATATGTTTAACTTTGCTTATATATTTTTTTGTGGAATATCACCGGCAGACATTAACTTTCCCATTAAGAGCCAATATGTGACCCCTTACATAGATTTCCAGGGGCATTTTTTTCTAACTATGTTCTAACAATTTTTTTTTCTAACCATGCATTTATACTGCAATTACAACACCATAACGTTATAGCCTACCAAACATGCCATCACTAATTATTATCATTTTAATCTATTGACAGCCTTAAGCTTCATTTGAAAACATAATTTTGTATAAAGCGGCATGCTGTTTTGACCACTGTTATCTCTAGATTAAACGTTAGTCAAATTAACTATAACAAACAGATTAAACAAGCTATAGCTTACTTTTAGACTTGTTGAATGAAGTTCGAGGTTGTGATAGTCGTGTCCGATATCCCTTGCCAGTTATTATGCGTACAGCAAATCTTCTTGTAGGAATATGGTCAATTTCTAGTGTTTATATCCAAAAAGAAACGATGTAAGTCATTCTCGAGTCATACAGGTCAAGTCAAGTCATTTTCTTAATTTAGTCAAGCAAGTCTCAAGTCCTTAAATTTGCGACTCGAGTCAAGTCATGTGACTCAAGTCCCCCATCTCTGGTGTTTACTCTTTTCATTGAGTAGCTAAATACTTTTTTTAGTAGTAAATAGGGGAGAGCGGGGCACAACCTAATGTGGGGCTAGTTGTAACACCCTTGTTTTAAATACTTCCACACATGCTAGCATGACGGAACTTAGTGTATTTACTAGTTGCCATATCAACACTATATAGAGAAAAAAATGCGCCAAAATTCAGAAATCTTTGGAAAATATCACTGGACATTTATTTAACCATAGCAAAAGTAAATTTCTTATTTCTTATGTTAATTTTTCATCTCTATTTTTGGCGTTTATTTTAAATGAGACAAATCTGATTTTATTTTAATCTCCAATATGCTATTTAACAGTTGATATAGTTCTTTAATGCTTCGCTAACCAGCAGAAGAAACTAGCAGGGTTTAAATCCCAGTTGTGCAGTTGGGCATGTTGTAACTGCATTACAATGTGCCTCTATTAGAACTATGCTATTCTATTCTATACTTTTATGAATTCTATTGAGAAAACAAGAGAAAAAGGTGAATAAAGACTGAGAGTCAATGTGCAAAAATGATTAATTATCATTATGTTTTGAACTATGTTGTATAGCTGTGTTCCCTTTCGAGGGAACTCGAACTGCGTCGACTACGACAGTGGTTCCCAACCTTTTTTTGTCTGAGACCCCCTTTTTCCCAAGAAAATATTTTAGGGCCCCCCTTCACATTTAATGATATTATTGCTCTTGTAAGCTTGCAGCAAGGATGACAAAATATGTTGTTTTCAAACATACGGTATGTTTACTATAACCAGATATGTTTATGCACAAATAATAGCCTATAATATTGAAAATACAATAACAAAAACATCAGTAGGCCCTTTGTAATTTAAAAACGTAAGCCTAGGAGAAGCCTATATATTGGCCCTATTTGAAATGCAAAAACAAAAATATTCACACTGGTGTGTAGGTAAAAAAAAAAAAAGAATAGGCTATTATTA